GGCCTTAGCTAGCGCAAAGTCAAACTAGTTCCTTAGTAGCAAATTTTAATTAAATAATAAAAGCAAGGTCTAGTGGGAAAAGGGCTCAGAGTTGTGGAAAGCAGAGGTTTAATAGTACTTTTGGCTTCCTATCTCCAAACCTATCAGGAACAGTAACGTTTAATACTTTCCTTTTAATACTTTCCTGTGTTACTAGTTGTGGTCCTTTTTTTGTAAATAAAAACAAACCAACTCTTTTCTTCTTTTCTTCACCCACCTTCTGCTCCAGTTATAAACTAGTGGAAATGAGGCCTCTGGTTTTCTCTGAAAGGGTCTGACTGGTGACTTTCAGAAGGTTACAGCTATTTTGGGTCATGGCTAAATGACAAATGTTGTGAGTGAGTTGTCTAAACTTGAAATCTTGCTTCAAAGGTTTATGCTACCTGGTGTAGATAATCTCTCCCATTTGATGCTACCTTGAAGTGTTTTTCTTTCATTAGGGCTTGTGGAAGGTTTGGGAATCTTGAGGAAGGGTCTTGTCTGTGGGAGAGCTTCCCCTGGCCTGAGGGAGTTGCAGTCCTGCCTACCCATGCCTGTTCTGTGCTCCAGCACCTTATGTCTTGTCTTCCCTACAAAATGTAGTCATTAAGTAACGTGTGGACTGATCTTTTTGTTTTTTCTGCCCCTGAAATTTTAAGCGTACAAATGTGATCTTAATGCTATTCTTCAAGGCAGTAGTTTGAGCCCCTCTAAAATGTGGTCTGTGCTTTTCCAGGCCAGACCATCTGCAGATACAAGATCCAAATTAGACAAATCCAGAACCTGATTATTCTGAGAGGTGTTACTTAATTGCATTCTTATCATGTTTAAGTAAACACGGTGTCAGAAGGGAGGAAACCATGAGGTACAGCTGTCATGAGACAGCATCGGGAGGAAGGAAGTCATGCAGCGTGCAGCAGGCTGCTGCAGCGGGGCAGGGAGCTAGAGCTCTCCCATGTGCGTTATCAGCATCACGGGCTGCTGCAGCCCTGGCTCCCAGGAGCAACATACCCCTGTCTGCGCTCAGCAAAGCAGCGAGCACTCAGCGCTGGAGTTTCCAGCATTGGACTAACTCATTTTCCAGTTTGTGGCTCTACACATCAGCTGTGGGTTGGTTAGCATAATATTCCACTGCCCATGTACTGCTGTAGAGGTGTACCTACTGTAGGGGTTTTGGGTAATTATTTATGTTGCAGGGACTTGATACAGCTTTCAAATGTATTTGTTGTTTTCAGTCAAACGCAAAATAAAGTATTTGATGGTTAGACACTTCAACTTTACTTTTGTCAGCTGCTGCAGGGCCCCGTGTTTCAAGAGCCCAATGTATGGGAATGGCTCTAGTGATGCCAGCTTGCCCAACAAAAGTCTGCATCAGGGGGTTCAAATAATTATCTGCAGTCAGATAACTTTTTTTTTTTAGTTGCTGCACGTGTCGGTTCCTGAGAACCAAGCTCACTGTTTTTAGGCACTTAAAAGTGGTGTGGTTTAAGTTCTTAGATGCATAAACACCTAGATGTTTCAAGTATTTATGTTGGGCTTTTTTCCCTTCAAAAGAGGTTATGTTCTGCATATATGTGAAACTGCAGAACCAACACTGTGATTTTTAAGGTGCGTAATCACTTCTAGGTGTTTGATTTGTGGTGATGTTGGATTCTACATCTCTGAAAATGTAGTTCTGCTTTTTATAGGCATAGAATTGTGGAGTTATTTTTATACTTTTGCACTAATAAGTATCAGTGTTAGCAGATGACTCGTTTAGAAACAGAATTAGCTGTCTGCGTTTTCTTAACTGTAGAGCTGTCTCTTTCTAGTTGTTTAATTTTAAGTTTAACACCACCTCCACCACCCCCACCTGAAAAAAACAGATTGTCCCTTGAAAATAAGCTGCTTGAAGCAGATCAGTCATTCTGTGAAATCTCCTGAAGTTCAGGTAGAACAGATGAGGAATTAATCTGTAGTTAATTTATGTAGACCTCAGTGCAGTCCTGGATAATTTCATGTTACTTTCTTGTGGGTTGCACAAATATCTGTCCTTTATTTATCCCTTTTGTTAAGAGCATTTTAATACAGAGCTACACATGGAAGTGCTGTTCAAAAGTAAGAATTCACAGCATTTCTTGAAATAACTGAAATAACATCCAGCTTTAAGAGAAAAAGGTCAGCTTGCCCTGGTTTTTCTCTTTTCTTTGGGCTATCAAATAAGTCATTTATGCAATCTTTAGTTTAAAAAAAAAAAAAAGACAGTGACTGGTTGTGTCTTAATACCTAAAACTCTAAATGTGCAATTTGCTGTTGATCACAATGTTATTTAGTTTCCACTGCACTCATTGGCAATGAACTTTGTGAAAGATTGTAAAACAAACCACCAAACATAAAAGAAATGTGCTTGGGTAAATAAGCCTTAGCCCTTGATCGTAGACAGTTGGATGTGCAATTCAAATGAGATATCCTGTTAATTACAACCCATAAGTACAGACAGTGTGTCTGATGCCAGAGGCCAGAAGGCCACAAACATTTGTTTTTGTAACCTGGAGGTGTGCAGGCTCTGGTGGACGTGGGAGCCCACCCTGAGGTAGGTCAGTCTCATATGACCTACCTCCCCGATGCACCTGTTCCGTAGATTTGCTTGCTGGGGCACAGTGCTCGCATTTCACTAAACAGAGCGATGGCCGTCAGGGACTGGAGGGCTCAGCAGCGGAGGCAAGCTGAGCCCTGCCATGTCTTGTGTTTGTGGTGGTCAAAGGTAAGCGGCACAGGCACGAAGTTGCAAGTAATACTCACTAGGACTCCAAAAACATGGGCACATGAAATTTCGTTTGAATTTTGTTTGTGTGTGTTCATGTATATGGTGACCGGAGTTTTACTTTGGGCTGTTTTCACATTTGTCATAAGGCTTAAATATCTGTTCCCTTGAGCAGCGGGAGCAGCAGCAGTGGAAGTGGTTAGCTCACCGACTGCAGGCTTCGGTGGTTTTGCTTTTCAATGCTAAGTATAGTTGAGCGTAGCTCTGAGGACAGTTGAGTAACAGGCTGACATTCTTGGCTTAGTATCTCAGGCAGTGTCTGAAGGAAATATTTGTACGTGTGCACATGCATATGTATACCTCAGTGTCTGTCTGCGTGCTGGCAATGTTTGTACAGTGTGCGTATTCCTTGGAGGAAAAGCACCCTTGTTTCTCTCAAGTGGCAAATCACAGCCAAAAAAATCAGCTTTTTTCTTCCACGATTTGACATTTCCCAAAACAACCTAAGCCCTTTTCTTTAAGCCAGAACAAAAGCATGTAGGAACACCTTTATAACCATTTTTTCCTTCAGAAGTACCCCATGTAAGTCTTCCTTTAAATGTCTCTTGCCAGGATTTCCCTCTCTGTGTTTGCCCCAGCACAGTGAGCTCTGACCTTCAGCGTTAGTGCCCCATTGCCTCACCTCTTCAAGGCTTTCCTTCTCTACTTTTCTGAAGGGATTCAGTCGTAGGAGCATCACCTGCTCCTTGCTTCAGAAGAGAAGCTGCTCAGCCATTCTGTGAGAGGTGCCATTCGCTGTAAGAAAGAGGGTGAGGGAGGTCCTGTGTTGCCATCCCTGGGATGCAGCAGGATGCGATGCAGCGCGGGCACAGCTTCAGGGAACGGGTGGCCTGATGTGCTTTGCCTGAGCTCTGAGTTGGTGTCTCCTGCTTGAGATACAGAAGCACTTGGTTTTTTGTTGGCATGGTTTCTTTTGTTAGCAGAAAGGGAAAGAAGTCAGTGTGAAGATCAGACTCTTTTAGGTATTCTGCATTGCCTTCAAAAATATATGGTATCCATACTTCTGTTGTTAGCTGACTGCATCTAACCACAACTGTGGCGACGTTACCGTGTCACTTCATTTGGGTAAGAGAAAAGCATTTTCCTGTCTTCCCTCCACCCCAGTCATCTAGTATCTCTTGCTCGCCCGTTGAAGCGTATTTACAGGAAACTTCTCTGTGATGTGTGTGCACGTACACACCAGCCTTGTTTAGCATACTGTTGGTTTTTTTGTATTTTTTGAGGAGGATGATTGGGATAGCTTTGAAGCAGTAACTTTCATGCTTGTGGGTCTGTAATTCCTAATCACTCTGAAAAAAAGTACTTGTTTTCTGAGGGTGCCATGCTTGACTCTCGCCCTTCTAATGTTTACTTGTAAGTGTAGTTTCCACTGACGTTGGGGAAAGAGGAAAAAATCACATCTGTTTAATTTGCAGGTCAGTCTTATGTTTAAGTGTTCAGAGATGGTAGTCAGCTTGGGCAGGAGTGAGGAAGTTCAGCAGATCCAGTTCAGTAGCCCACAAGAAAAAAATACTTCCAAAATGTGCGTGGTTAGTGGAAACAGAGATTGGATGAACACTCAATAGATATAAGCATACTACATCCCATTGCTATTCCGTAAATACGGATTTTCTAAAGACATGTACTGTTTCTTAAAAATGTCTTGTGTTAGGTCAGAAATAAATTGAGCTTTTTGGGAGTTTTTTGACCTTAGTTATCTGATAGATACGCCTTTAGAGGTTAGGGTGTTTTTGTTTTGTTTCTTAATGTGTCGGTGGGATGCAAGTAATGGTCTGGAAACAGACGAAGGAGGTTTGGAAGAATTAATGTAAGGAAAGTGTAAATACTGTGTGGTTAATTGGGTTGAGAGGCTCTGTGTGGTATGCTTTTCATGTTTCTCTTGCTCATGAAGCAGATCACCGTTTTCTGTTTTTGTGAAGCAACATTATGATAAAGGAAGATTTTGATTTGAGTATCAGCAATGTGAAAACTGAGATTTCCCTCTTCGGCTTCCAGACTATATTTCATTTGAAAACACTATGAATAAAGCAAATGTGTGCATCTGTCAGTACTAAAGAACAAAAACCAGCTTTTGTCTTCATCCCCCAGAACACTGGTTACTGCAAGCTGTTTGCTCAGAAATAAGCCTGTTGGCTGTATGGGTGAAATGGTTTTCTGTCTTTGTTCTTGCACTGAACAGGTAGCCCCAAATGACGAAGCTGTGGTAACGCTGCTTTGTGAATGGGCTGTCAGCTGTAAAAGGTCTGGTAAGCACAGGGCCATGGCTGTAGCCAAACTCCTGGAGAAGAGGCAAGCAGAAATTGAAGCAGAAGTAAGTTATTTCTACTTATAGAATAGTGTGAACAGTATGCTTAAAAAGTAAGATATTTCCAAGGAAACATCACTTTAATCTGTAGTTATTACAAAACAAGTAAGTTTGGCATTTGGAGCACTGGGGATTTTTGTCATCAATTTACAGTTTTTAAATTCTAGATAAATTTAAAATGAAAAAGCCTTCTATTTAAAATAAGAAGAAATTGCCTAAGTCAGAATGGTCTATGTTAGCTGATCTATGTCTGTTTGTTTGAAGTGTTTTACTTCTGTGAACTACTTGTCCAAATAAAGGGGTGCCACAGTAACTGGAGTCCCTTAAAAAGAGGGGCGTGGGTCTGACTGGTGGGGCAGGGCTCTTCAGCTGGTGGGGTACTCTGGGAAGATTACAAAACTAAGGTCTGTTTTGAGGCAAAATTCAAGTGTAACTTTAAATCTTGCATTCTGTAGAACTCCTTTGTTTTCAGGGGAAATGAAATGTTTCACTGGAGAAGCAGGACGCTGTAGTGGCATCTTTGATGTAAACTATTGTCTGTCTGTTGTGGCAAATGATCCTATTCCCGCTTGCATAAGCTGACGCTTCTCCTTGAAACTTCAGTAATGCTAAATCTCCTCTGCAGTGAGGATTAAAGAGAGGCAGTGTCTTCACTGCAGCCTTGCTGCAGCGGGCTCTTCAGCTGGTGGGGTACTCTGGGAAGATTACAAAACTAAGGTCTGTTTTGAGGCAAAATTCAAGTGTAATCTTGCATCTTGCATTCTGTAGAACTCCTTTGTTTTCAGGGGAAATGAAATGTTTCACGCAGGACGCTGGACGCTGTAGTGGCATCTTTGATGTAAACTATTGTCTGTCTGTTGTGGCAAATGATCCTATTCCCGCTTGCATAAGCTGACGCTTCTCCTTGAAACTTCAGTAATGCTAAATCTCCTCTGCAGTGAGGATTAAAGAGAGGCAGTGTCTTCACTGCAGCCTTGCTGCAGCTTTCTGGACCAGTGGTACGCCCTGTAGCCTGGAGCACCACTGCCTTGGCCTCACCTGCATCCGTGCAGCACTGGCAGGCAGTTTTTACTGGATGGGTGTTCTGTTTAGGTTGTTTTTTCCTAGAAAAAAGGGTCCCCAGGAAGGTGATGTGTGATGTCTGTTCAGCCTGGGTGCAGGGACAGACAGATGAGAGCACTCTCAGAAGTGCCTCTGTGCAGACAGATGTACAGACAACGTGAGGTGCAAAAAGACTTTCACTTTCCAAAGCCTCTCTGCTTTATCTGCTCCTCACCACAAACCATTAATTAGGGGGAAGGGAGCTTACTGTATTGTTTCTGCCTCACTCCCACCGAAATCCACTCAGTGCAGAGATGTTTGCCCTGGTTACTACTATATTTAGTGTAATTTACACAAACAAGAGCAGTTACCTTTTCTATTCACATTGGTCCTGGAAGTTCTGTATCTTAAATTTTTGTGTTTATATGAAACTGTGTCATTGCAGATGATGGTACATGTCTCAGGCATTCCTTTTCAATAAGTAATCCAAAGTGATTAAATAAAACACCTTAGAAATAACCAAACTAGGTAATGGGAAAAACCTGTCATTCTAGAGCAAGTCTGGATTTTATGAAGAGGTAGGAAACAATCACACGTATAGTTGCCTCAGATGCAAATTGTGGGAATATTATATACATTTGTGTGTAGATACATGCCTTTTTTTTTTATTTATTTAACTGTGCAGAGATGTGGTGAATCTGAAGTCCTAGATGAAAAGGAATCTCTGTCTTCAGCCTCCTTGACAGGTTCCAGTCTTCCTGTTTTTCAGAATGTCCTGCTAAGGTTTTTAGATACACAAGCTCCCTCATTATGTGAGTATTAACTAATTTATATTCCAAAGTAGGTCAGAAGCAACTGGTCTGCTGTCTGGCTGCTGAAGTTCCTGTTTTGCTGTAGCAGGTGTTTCACAGTTTCCCTGTTTCACAGATGACCTGCTCTATTTTCATATGTGCATTTTTTTTTGAAATCTCCTGCCTTGTTATAGGATCTTTCTGTGATTTTTATTTTTTTCACAGAAGGAAAATTGGCAGAAACTATGTTTATTTCTGTTTAAGCTGTAAGAGATTTGGGGAAGTTACTTGCACTCTATGCATATTTAACATCAAACACTCGCCTCTTTTTGACACATCCACGTTCGAAGTGACTGACTTGGAAATTACACACAAGTGTTGAAGTCGAAAGCTGTTAGCTGACAAATAGGTGGATTGAAAAAAGGATCTTTGTTCATCGTAGGTTGCTCTATGGAATGTCTTGGTCTAATAAAACTGCCTGATACTGTAGCTCGTGTTTCTGGTATCTTAAGTACTGCTAGTTAGTGCATTTTTGTTTTCTGGTGCCCTTAAGGTAAAGGGGATTTTAAGTGGTTTGAAACATGATACTGAAAACTCTCAACATCCGAAAAAGGAGAAACTTCTTAAAAATTTGTTACAGACTCTGAGGTATTGGCAGTGCTCTATTTTCGTGCCCGTGGTGACCTTGGTTTTAATAAACCATCCAAACTATTTGTGTTATTTAGACTTGTGTTTCTGATGTGCTTGTTTCAAATGCGGTATTGTCTGTCTTCACCCGGTTAGCTCTGTGAGACAGGGTAGGGAGAGCAGCTGGGGAATGTTTTCCTTGCTTGAAATATTCTTTGGTATTTTCGAGCATTGGACAAGTTTTGTGGTATTGTATTGTTTTTACAGTGGTTGAGCTTCTGTGTCTCCAAAAATGAAAAGCATGTAACAGCTATATTTTGAAGGAGGGCAGATTGCCTGGTCTGCAGGTGTGTGTTTTCTGATGGTCCTCTACAGAGCATCCAGTCCACATGCCTTGCTTTTGAGGGGTGGGTCACGGCGGGCAGCTCCGGATAAGTGGGACCTGGGGGCTGCAGAGAAGAGTTCTGACGCTGAACTGGTGTGCTCTCGAGCTTACTGTTACAGCTTCTGTGCTGCAGTGTAATGAGAATTTCTAAATAGAAATAGTGTTATATATTGAACTAATTTGAACTTGTAAAGCATAATTTGCTTTTAAATAAATGTTGATGATTCGGATTTGGTAGTTCTGTAGCTGGAGGTTTTGTTGCCCAATAGAGTTGGCGTGGTATAAAGCTATTTTATGTTAACTGCAATGTTGCAAACCTTTCTGTGGTACAGAACAAGTCAAATTAAATATAGCTGTGACAAATGAAAACTTAATAACATAATTTTATATGTTGTATTTCTCTAGGCTTTGCTTTGGCACTGGCAAAATAACATGCATTTATTTTAATAAACTTTTTCTTGATATGCGTGAGCACGTTTAATAGATAAAATACACGACATTGTCAAGCTTTAATAAAATATTGGTTTTACATCTCGGAGGCCTGGCATGCAGAGATCTTGAGTCCTTTGGAAATATTTTGTTACAAATACAAAAGTACTATAGGTAAGACAGTAACATGTACTACAGTAATATAATTTGGGAGGAAAGGACAACCGCTGGGTGGTTTGTTATAATCCAAAGCTTCAGCTTTAATTTTTCTTCACACAAGGAATGTCCTTGCCCTCTTCCCCCCTCTTTTTAATTTTTGGAAGTATTTGAACATTGTACTTAACTGCTCACAAGCCCCCCCTCCCCCCACCCCCCCAAACTGGGGCAGATGTGTATGGGGTAGGATGCTCTGAAATCCACTGCTGTCTGAAGTCTGTCCCGTGTCTGGTCCTGGTAGCAAAGCAAAAACATGCAAATTACATGGGAAATGGTTTGTTCTATGGAGACAGAGAAACCTGTGCAGGATGCCTGAGACATTTTTAGTAGGCCTTTAAAATTAATTTGCTGGGGTTTGCGGTTTGGATAGTTGAAACCCAAATATTTATAAGTTGAAACTACAGTCTAACTTTTTTTTTTTTGGGGTAGCTGACCCAAATAGTGACCATGAGAAGACAGAGTTTGTGAATTTGGTGCTGCTTTTTTCTGAATTCACTCGCCATGATGTTTTCTCCCATGATGCGTACATGTGCACTTTAATATCACGCGGAGATTTGTCAATCACTGCAACTACTAGACCACGTTCACCTAATGGGGAAACTGTGGATGAACACTATTCTAAGGATCACGATGTGAAACTGGAGGTAACACTTCATGCTATTTCTCCCATGTTTGGTACTCTGTTTTGTTAAACGTAGATTTTCACCGAAGCAGTATTTCAGATATGAGATACTAAGTTTTTTAATGTGTTCCTTGTCTCTTTCTCTCTCTTTAAGAAGACTGAAAGTGATCCATTAGCTTCATTCTTGTATATAGCTGTAAATATTGCCGTTTTGGTGCAAATACACTGAACTGAGAGTTGTCTGGTGATCTAAATAACTCAAGACAAACAAAAAGGCACAATGTAGACTTCTAAATGTACCAGTGGAAAAACTTATTTGCAGATATGCTTCAATGAAGAGAAGGGAGAGCTTTAAGCAGGAGGAGTCAGTGGGGAGCCTGGAGTAAGCTCCATGTCCTCTGTGTAGTGTGGGGCATGCTGGCACAGTGCAGGTGTGAGCGATGCGCAGCCTGGTAATCTGCTCGCAGACGATCAGGAGCTTACTGTGTGCCACGCAGCCACCGAATGAAGACTGTGAAGCCAAATCTCATGACTCGTACGTGCACAGTCAGGTCGAATCCCAAGTCTTCCATCAGATGAGCAGTTTGTAACCTTTTCTAAAACTAGTGCAAGAGGAAGGCAATTTTAAACTCAAGACTGCAGACCACGTTTGTACTCGTGTGATGAAATGTAGCCTGTTGTTCTGCTGCACAGTCTGTGTGGAGCCTGTGGGCAGCTGAAGTGTCCTCTTATATTTCTTTCTAATTTCTTTTGTATATCTCTTGCATCAGTCTTATGGCCAAATTTGCCCTGAAATATAGGGGGTTTCTACAAGTTGCCTTTTGTGGTATAACAAAGTAGGAAATAAATCTTAGGAAGGTACAGGAGTCAGCTTCCTGTTCTGTAGGTGTCCCTGGAGCAGAATTGCTCACGGGGATATGCTGTAAAGGTTTGTTTCCCCCTTTGGCTCCTGCCCTTTTCTATGCTTTTGTGGGTTTAAGCTTGAGAAATGCTTTTGTGAATTAAGGCTTATAAAGATTTAAAAGTCAGTATCTGAAAATTTCTTACCATCAATACCTTTTTCTTAGTTCTTAAATAGGTGGAGTGCTTGGTTTTACCTGTGATCAGTTAAATGGGTCTTCAATAAAATGTCACTGATATTTGTTTTTCTCTCTGGCCATTATTAGGATCATAGTATTATGGAACATATGGGCATTGACTCAGGAACCGCTAGTATTTTTGATGATGTAGACAAGAGTGACTTTAAGGCAGATTTTGGTTCGGAATTTCCAGTAGGTTTAACTTTCGATTTTCTGCATGCCTTTGATGCCTGTGTCTGCTGCTTGCTGTTGCCACTGAATGTCTCTCCTTGCCCCTAGCACCACCTTGCTTCTTCCTTCGACAGCCAATGTCCTTTGGCATCCAGTCCCTGCCATCTTCTGTGTCAGTGCATCACTTCCTTTCTCTGTGTCTCTGCTGTATGAAAACTTACTGCTCTTCTGTGCTTCCCCCAGTTGTCCACCTGCACACATGCACGCGCACTTGCACGCACACTCCTCTCTCCCTCCTTCCCTTCCTCCCCCTTGCCCCCAGCATATTCAGAGTGCTGTGTGTTACAGTTAAGCATGAATAAATATGCAGATCTACCCACTTCTTTGACATCAAGGAACCCCACTGATGCCATTTGCTTTTCAAGTGTCTGTTCTATGTTTTGGCTCTGTCTTCCAAATCTGTTTCCCCCTCTCTTCTTCCTTACTGTTAGCCTGATTCTGCATTACTCTTGAATCTCCTAGTTTCTTCTTTGCACTGGTCCTCATTCTGCATCCGCATGGACTCAGTGCAGATCCACTTGCAGGATATTGGGACCCCTGTTTCTGCCTGACATTTGTCATATTGGTACTTTCAAGCATATCCATGCCTGCCTACAATGTCTCTTGTCACCTCCCACTTCACCCTTTCTATTATTTTCCCTCAATCATTGGACTCTCTCATTGCGGTTTCTGTGTCACAGCAGCATAAGACGTGTGGAGATTGCTCAGAATCGTAATGCTTTTTTTCCTGACTGAATGCTGCTAGTTTACAACTTGTCTAATAACAATGGACATATGCATAGAGATATAATGTGTATATGTATCTTAAATTTCAGGCTTGATTACGATTGCCCTTGCTTTGTCTATCTTTTGAAAAACCTCAGATGTTTAAGAAGTAACTGTAAGCAAGAACAAAATCGTATCTCTGAATGCAATTGCTGAATTTCGAAAGTTAGAGGTTACACTTACCTTAAACGTTTGTTTTACATGACTTAGATTTTTTCTCCGATGCCTGGGGAGTCTTGTGAGAATGTGAACCCTTCTTTAGACAGAAGAATTTCAGTTACCAGCGAGAAGTCAGTCAAGAGGGAAAGACTGAGAGAACTGATTTTTCCATCCAATTATGACCTCCTTCGCCATTTGCAATACGCAACACATTTCCCTATACCTCTGGTGAGTGACCTCTGCTTGTGTGCCTAAAGGTACTGCCTGATGTGACAGCAAAGCGTTTAAAGGAAGAAAAGTTCACTGTCTGAAGAGAGCTGGGCTGTGTGACCTCTGCCTGAGGGCTCCTGGCCGGTTCACGTGATGCTGTTGCTGCCAGTGTGCGCACGCTGTGCACTGCGGGGTGGCCTCAGTGCAGCGCACGGGCATCTTTGTTTTATCGAAAGGGGGTTAGCTGGAAGAGGTATAATAATGTGTGATGACTCACTTGGGTTAAGGAGATAGGCATCATGGTAAAACCACCACGTTCCAGGGTCTAATAAAAGTTTGCTAAATAGAAAATTTGATATTGTAGTTGAACAGACGGATGAATACCAAAATACCTGAAAGAAGTAGTTCTGAAATGTAAGGGGCAGAATGGTGCTATTTCCTCCCACCGACTCCTCGCCGTTTCTAGCGTGGATTTTTGGCTGCTGCTGTTGTTGTGTTTGTCTGTAGGCTCATGGGAACTGAAGAAAGCCCCATGAATAACGTTCCAGATCCCAAACCCTCATTCAGATTACTACTTATGTTTTCTACTGTGCTGGAAAAAGGGCCCAAATATTGAATAAGCCTCGAACTAGAATGTATCTACTTGAGAATTATTATTTTTTTAAATAAAAACAATGATAACTTTTTAACAATATTAAATCCTGTCAATACAGGAAGTGTCATGTGAGAGTATGATGTGATAACCACAGTTTTCTTTGCTTTAAATTTCTTTCTCTACAAAGATTGAGTTCTGATTTATTGCAGGTGAATCGTTATGAGAATACTGAATGAGCTATTTCTGTTCAGGACAGTTTTGAATGCTTGCTTAAAGTTTGATTCATATTTTGCCCGTTTTAAGGATTAGAAAAAAATAACTTGATTTGTTTATTTTTCTGAAATATTTTTGATTTACAGATGGAGCTAATCCAGGTAGCTGGATTTTGCCTATGCAAATTGATTTATAAATTTTGATTATTGATTATTCTACATATGCATTATTTTTGGAAGTAATTGTATATTAGAATATACTTAATAAACTTAGTTGCTGATTTATAAATTTTTATTAAAAAAACAAGCAAAGAGAACACACTGGATATTTCTACTTACTCTTTAATTTTAAAATTTCCATGAAATTACTGTAATAATGTGTTGTTAGCTTTTTCATATTCGTTGAAACAACAGCAAGGAAAGGCAGTGGAACTAAGCAAGAACAAGAAATTTATTTATAAAAACTGCAGGTGTGATGTAAGCAGATACAATAATTTTTAATCAGTGCAGCTTAAAATCACTTTCTGGAGTAACTAATGCCCTCTAAAATGCTTTTGGGTTAATTGTATGTGTGAAAACAAAGTTTAAACTGCGGATTTGCACATTCTTCCGATGTATTTTAGAATCAGTACTTTTGCATCTGCTGTTCACTTCTGTGTTGTACCTCTTTGTCTGTGAAAACCTTCACCTCTTTGGATGCTGCAAAAGTCTCAGTAAATTTCAGTCTGAATGATTTGGAAAGATGGTAATACAGAATAGGGTCAAAACAGAGGTTTGATACTGCAAACAGCAAGGTAGATTCTTTAGCTTTAAAGAGAGCTTGTTTCAGAGAGCAGCTGGTTATGGTATCGCTTTGGCTCAAAGTGTAGGGGATACGAACAATGTGGTATGGAACAAAACACAGCAGGTAGCCTGCAGTTACGAGCAGTATGTTGATGAGGGTTTTCTTCACATTTGCATAACTCTCGCTGTATTTGTTTCGGTAGAGTTGTCTAACAACAAGGAAATTGGAAATCAGTATCACAGCTGAAAAATTCAGGAATATTGCTGTGCATATGAAATTAGTAAACACGTGCCAGTCTCTTCCAAACTTTGTTTTGAAATCGATGCATCCTGCACCAGGTCTTTCTTCAATGTTTTTTATTGGAATAGCCATGTTAGGCACTGTAATAAGGAGAACCATTGTCCATACGACTGCAGACAACATCTTGGCAAATCCAGGCCCTTGAATGCGGTAGATCTTAGAACTGTGTGTTAGCTGAAGGCAACGATCCATGCTTACAAATCCCAAAAATATAATTGATAAATACATGTTCAGGTAGATGAAACAGGCTGTAACTTGACAGTGGAATATTCTCAGTTTCCAGGATGCAACTCCTAGGTCAACAATAATCTTTACTGGCAATGCCAAAGTCAACAAAAAATCCGCTGTTAAGAGGTTAATTAAGTAGATGCTCGTACACTTCTGCTTCTGATCTTTTTGTGTGAATGCCCATAGTGCAAAACAACTTCCAATAAATCCCATAAGAAAAATCAAGTAGTAAAAGTAGGTAAAAGGTTCCATATCTTTAGTGACGTGGCATTGTGAAACATTGCTTGACATTGTAAACTTCTTGTGCAAGTTGGTTTTGCTGCTAGGAGATATCAAGAACCTACAAAAAGAACCAAGACGACATCAGTGACATCAACTTTTCCTGAGCAACAGTAATTATTCTCTGAGAATTTTGTTTGATTAATTTCATGGAAAAAATGCAATTGGGAAGAAATATTTTTCACATGTATTCAAGAAGGCTTTGTTCTCATGTTGGAAAAGTTTGGAAAGGTATTAGGATTTGTTCTTGAAAGCATATAGACTTCTGATAACTTTTCCACTAGTGCAGTCTTTCTGAGTGAGTGTTTGGTTCAAACCCACCTCTGCCCTGCCCCAACCAACCAAAACACCAAAGAAAAAGGTTTGAATCTGTTTAAGATTAAGCATCTGGTTAATAATGGTCATACTAATACTTCATAACTTTTGAACAACTGAAACTATGCCTAAAAAAAGGGTAATATTTGTAGCAGTCGTGTTCTCTAAAAATTTATTAGGAGTTTTGAAGTTAATGCACTGTCAAACCAGTATGCGGATTTGTCAGATAGATGAGCAAATAGTTCTAATCAGTCCTAAGTTTTTGCAAACTGTTCTGTCTAACTACTTGAACAGAGGATAATTTAATCTCATATTTTTATGAAGCCTTTAGAAAAAGCACATTTTGAAAGAAGTAGCTGTTAAATAATTTTGCTCACTACCTTCTTAGGCTTCACTAGAAATTATAGGGAAGAAAAGAAGAACATTTGGTCTTATTTTAACTAAACATACTCTATGACTGAGGGAGTTTGTTTGTTTGTTTGTTACACTGTTACTGCTGCACATAGAATGTCTGGGGGGGAG